ACTAGACTCAGCGCCGCTGATGACAACCCTCTGAGTTCTGCCATTCAGCCAGTTTTCAATCCACTTCACCGACCACTCATCCAGGCCACACTTCCTGAGCTTCCCTAGGAGGATATTATGGGAGACTGTGTCGAAAGCCTTGCTGAAGTCTTGGTGTACAGGATGCAAGAGAGCTCATAAGATGCTCTTACTCCTTTTTTTATCTTTGAATTATTTATAAACATAAACTCTGTGTTCATGTATGTCCTTCATAAAAATTGTTGTGCCTTGGAAAGGAGAACTTCTGCTGAGTTTGTTTTCGTGAAAGACAGATGAGAACTGCTGAAGCTGAACTAAATATTTAGTGGAACTGAAAATCAAAGTTGCAACTGATGATATGGATGTAATGCTCATTGGTGAGCAAAGCTCGTATTTCTCCACATGTATGTGGTAATCTGCTGTGTGGAGAAGGAAGTTCTATATAAAATCAAGTGATGCTTTCCCCCCAGATTTGGTAGTCTCAAAAAGAATGTTCCCAAATGATCTTTTCAGATAGGTTTGTAGGTGACAAATAGGCCTTACGTGTATGATCTTATTGTTCTGCAAGCATTCTTTCTAACTGAACAGAATATAACACAATGCCGTTTTGTTGTAAGGTGTAAAAGTTCTCTGACATTTCAAGAAGTACTTTAGTAAAAATTACAAGAAGATACCATGCTTAAGCTAGTGACAAGAAAAACCATTTCTTAACTTTGTGTGTGTAGTGAAAGGTGTTTATAGAACAATATTTTGAAGAGAGCTTCGAGAAATCTAAAGGGATGAGATATCAAATGTGAGTGTAAGCAAATTTGCTGACGACACAAAACTGGGAGGAGTGGTAGATACACCAGAAGGCTATGCTGCCATTCAGCGTGACTTGGACAGGCTGGAAAGTTGGGCAGAGAGGAACCTGATGTGGTTCAACAAGGGCAAGTGCAGGGTCCTGCACCTGGGGAGGAACAATCCCATGCATCAGTACAGGCTTGGGGCGAACCTGCTGGAGAGCAGCTCTGTGGAGAGGGACCTGGGTGTCCTGGTTGGACGACAGGTTGACCATGAGCCAGCAGTGTGCCCTGGCTGCCAAGAAGGCCAATGGGATCCTGGGGTGCATCAATTAGAGTGTGGCCAGCAGGTCGAGGGAGGTTCTCCTCCCCCTCTACACTGCCCTGGTGAGGCCTCATCTGGAGTACTGTGTCCAGTTCTGGGCTCCGCAGTTCAAGAAAGATGAAGAGCTACTGGAGAGAGTCCAGCGGACGGCTACAAGGATGATGAGGGGACTGGAACATCTCCCCTACGAGGAGAGGCTGAGGGAGCTGGGCTTGTTTAGCCTGGAGAAGGCTGCGAGGGGACCTTAGGGAGGTTGTGGAGTCTCCTTCTCTGGAGATATTCAAGACCCGCCTGGACAAGGTCCTGTGCAGCCTACTGTAGGTGACCATGCTTCGGCAGGGCGGTTGGACTAGATGACCCACAGAGGTCCTTTCCAACCCCGAACATTCTGTGATTCTGTGAAGATGAGATGTGAATGTCAAATTGGCAGGCTGTTACAAGTTGCTGCCTGGTGGTGAGGCAACTGATATTTGCATGCTGTACTTAACATTTACAAACATTTTATTTGCCAAACACTGTTCAATACTGTATCAGTATAAGTTAATTAGAAGAAATTTGCCTCTGTAAACTCAGATCTTACTGCTCTTGGTTATAGAAAAATAGCGTACTTCACATTTAGTGAATATCTTGCTAATTTTTAGTAGTAGTCTTGCACTTTGTTTGCCTTAATACTTTACAATAAAGTATTTTCATGCATCATATAAAATGGAGAAATGTAGGAGAAGTTGATTTATTTTCTATGTTAGTAGTTTTGAATGGTATTGTGTCTGTTTTGGATTTGATAATGTGTTCCAAGTTGGATGAAAAAAATAATTTATGGGAATTTCCTTAGTATTGAATGAGTTTTGTGTGGATCTTTCATTCTTCGAGGAATATTCATTCTTGCATTTAATTTGTTACGATTTTGTAAAGACATGAGCACCTGGACATTTGGAGGACTTCCCTCCTTTCAAACTAAAGGAGGAGAATACTTTGATGTACTGAATAAATGGCTTGATCTTAATGCTAAGCTGATCTTTCTTTTTCATTTTAATCCAAACCAGCCTATAACTCAAGTTTAAATATCAATATGTTTAGTTGGAATATATGTAGTTTGTTATGAAGAGTTCTATTTTTACAGTTTTGCTCATTTTATTTTATTGTGAAACAGACTTGAAGATATGGGCAGTGTTATCAAACGATTAGGCTAGAGTAATTTTCAGCTTTTCCTGTTAGTCCTTAACATATTATCCATTGAAATAGGAAATAAACAGTAAGTCCTATACAATTCATGGAGAGCCGTAATTTTGTCCATACTGTTGGGAAAAAACTGTGCAAATAACTTTCTTCTATGTTTTTTCAGCTTTTATGAAATGCAGTAATGAAGGAACAGCCCCAGTTATTGTCTTTGTTTCTAAAATGTTTGCTGTTGATGCGAAGGCATTACCACACAATAAACCAAGGTAAGAAAATGTAACATTTGACTTTCTGATCTACATTAGATAGGTGGGAAAAAAAGGTGTGTTGCAAGCGTGGGTGTAAATTGTTTTCAACCTGAGAAAACAATTCACTAAGTCTTGAGATGCATTAAAATCTTTTCAGCAAGTAGAGATTTTCTGAAGGAGTTCAAGAGATGATTTGTTTAATCATAGCAGTTTTAGAAGATTTAGCTGAGAACTATGAAAATTGAGAATTAAACAAATCGTTTGTTGGAGAAGAGTACTTTTGTCCAAATATATCATCGTAATGCATACGTTGTATGCTGTTTCAGGATGTTTGGTTGAAAATATGCTAGAGTTGTAATGCTTTCTTAGTTTTTCAGTAAGGTTATATTGGTGTGATCAAAACAGCTTGCGTTTGTACCAAGAAACACTTCCCATCAAATCTGGCATAAGAGCTATGTGATCATCCAGTCCATTGCAAGTGCAAAATAAAATGGGTTAATTAAAGTAGTCTAAACCTTGACTAACTTTTTGCAGTGAACTGAAAAGCATTAATGCACTTCAAAAGATTTTCTTCTGGGAGTTTTGGAAGTTTTTTTTGTTACAGCTTTTTATTTTTTAATGACCATCTTATTTTCTTTAAGAGGTAATTGTTTCTTGATTTTTGTTTTCCTGACATACTTAAGTGGACTACTTTTAGCTGAAGCCATCTGCTTTTTTACAGAAGAAATGTACTTTTCTGATGAGTTTATAAGAATCGGGTTCATCTTAACCTTTCATCCCTCTAAACCTCTGGAACATTTTCAGTAGTCAACTTCTGTATCAACTGGCTATTTGATGTTTTTCGGGGGTTGTCACTGTACAGTGAAGTCATACAGAAAATGTGAATCTTTCTACTAAATTAGACTGATAGTGACTGTTAAATATGATACTATTGCCGTAGTAATATGTGAAAGCTTTACTGCTATCTCAGGTTTTTCACACGCTTTCTAGATTTACTGTAATGTTTTCTTACCACACTTACCTACAAATCTTCCACCAAAAATCTTTCTTGCAGTACGTTTGAATTCAGGGAAAAGATGCATTGCACTTACAGATTGACCAGACACTAGATGGTGCAGCTTTACTTTGAGTTTTGTTCTTAAATGTATCTGAAACAAAATTTCTT